ATCTCCTGAGGTTTTCTATATTCCGCAGGTTAGCTGCTTTAAGGTCAATCACGCCTCGTCCCCCTTTGGATCTTGGCAAGTAGAATCTTTCGATCGAACTCTTGGGATGTCTTGCTCTATGATTTGTAAATAAGACTCTTATGTTTCTGTTTAGCTGCTCTAAGTCAGAGTCTGTCCACTTGATTATTCCGAAGCTATATGTTATTGTCGGAATAGCATATGTGTTAATGGCCCTTACTTTGTGTATTGCGGACAGATGAGTCTTAAGTATTGATTTGACCCTACTCGTTAATCTTTGCTTTAGAGCTTCTTTCATATCTTTGTGTTTGATACCCTTGCTTGATCTAGTCCCAAATATGTATAGCTCTCTTTCTCAGACATGCTTCTTATTGTCTGACCCTGCTCCAACATAAACCCTGGGTGATCTTCCCATATGCCTTTTCTAATAGCCCCAATCTTACACTTGTCCAGGCCAAACTCCATTCTTGTGTCAGCACTGTATTTCTTTATGGTTTTAAGCAACCTGTCCAGTCCATCCTTAGTGGCAGATATTAGTTTGATGTCATCCATGTAAGCTAGATGGCTTATTTGTAGGTTGTTCTGAAGCTTATAACCTTCGTTCTTCTTGTGCAGCATTCTAGATAGAGGTGCTAATACAATACAGTACCATAAAGCACTTAGTGCATCTCCCTGGAAGATACCGCTTTTAATGCTGATGGCACCGATGTTGATATTTTCTTCTTTATGGGTTATTACAAGATTAGTTTTCCATTGAGGCATAAGGTTTTGCAGCAATCTCACTATACTAGGGCTGATTTTATATATTTGGAGCATTTCAATTAATAGAGAGTGAGGAACACTGTCAAAGGCCTTTTTATAGTCAATGTATGCAACATACAGATCTTTCTTACAGCCCTTTGCTTCCTCCGTGATGATTGTATCTATTGTAAGTTGCTCTTTGCAGCCACGACTTCCCTTTTTGCAGCCTTTCTGTTCTTCTGGGAGCAGATGATGCCTTTCAAGGTGCTGGTAAATTTGATCGCATAAAATTGAGGTAATTATTTTATATATGGTTGGAAGACACGTAATTGGCCTGTATTTTGATGGGTCGCTCACAGAAGGGAATGTTTTAGGAAGCAAGTAGGTGTTTCCCGTTGTCAGAAATGCTGGAATGGATTCTGGATCTTGCATGAGGCTTGTGCAAATCATCGCTAACGTTTCGTGTGTGCAAGTGAACTTTTTGAGCCAATAGTTATGGATGCCATCAGGTCCAGGCGCCTTCCAGTTCTGCGTGTTGTTTATAGATCTTTTAACATCCTCCACAGTTATGACGTTGTAGTGCATCATGGGTATTTTTTCGGTTTTCCTCTTCTCGTCCGCGAGCCAACTTGTTTTATTATTATGAGTCTTGGGGTTCTCCCATAGGTCAGCCCAATATGTTAATGCATCTCTAGCTTCTGGTGTTTTACCCGTAGTACTTACATCTTCGTTTTCCAGTGAGCGATAGAACCTCTTTTGATTCGTTCGAAATATGCTATTTTGTAGTTTTCTTTGATGCGACTCTTTATATCGCTTTAGGCGATTTGCGTATACAGACAACCTTTGTTGGAGCTTATCGAGGATCTGTATCGGATTTTGATTATCCTCATCATGATGTCTCTGGGTTATTGTTGTGACTTTATTTCGCAACCGGTTGGACGGGACATCTGACTTGATGTACTGAACAAGGGGGCCTATAGCTGCTCGTAGATCTTTTACTTTCCCTTCGATCCTCATCTGCCATCTGGGTTTTTGTTCAGTATGCTTGTATGATTGCTTTATCTTTTGATGGTGCAGTTCAATCACAGTATAAGCGCCGGCATAGATTAGGTCATGATAATCAGTTATACCGGTTATGTCACACAACTTGGTCGTCATGAGATGATTTACTCTATTCAAGATATGAACAGTATTCTTATTTGTCCTCAACCGAGGCAGTCTTGGTCTCAGAAAAGGATCTATGCCTTTGAACAGTATTAAATTCCTTTCAAAACATGTTTTCTCTTCAGTTTCTATCTGCCTTATATTTGTGCTTTCACTGCTGGTATTTGCTGTATCCTCTAGCTCGCGTGATGGTTCAGCCTGTCCTATTCCGAGTTCCATCTCCACTTCTCTTCGTATCCGGTTCACTTTATCTATCGATATCCTGTTCGTCGTAAAGAGATGTCGTCGTTGGTCCAATATGTTCTGACGTGTTTTACTTGCTAGATCAGGAAACCTTCCAATCATGGTTTGGTAGAGTTCGACGCTATAGGGGTCCTTTGATGTTTCCATTTTGGTGATTTTGAGGTAGGTACGGTAGAGGTATTCATTCATTTCATCACTCCATTTCATCCGTTCCTACGACTATTATCCTCTTGAGTGGGACGAGCAATTTGCTCGGCAACACTTTCAGAGCTTCGATGTAATCGTTGTTCCATTTCCATCGCCTGTGTGGTGGTAGGTCCAATCCTCGGGTCAGTGCCACCTACTTCACTGGATCCCAAGACAGGCATAGCCTCCTGACGCTTCCGAACAGAGTCAGCCTGATTCTCTGCCACGCCCAAAACTGTATTCCTTCTCGTCTTTACAGCGGTTAGAATCACGTTCTACGGGGTGCTAACCCATAGAGCGGTAATGCTAGTTTTTGTCCACCCCAGGTATTTAATTTCCCCGGTACCCTCCATATCTGGAGAGCGTTTCCCAATTCGCACAGGGAGGCGCCCGATGGGAGACTAGCAACTCCACGCGGGGTATTATTATTATTATTATTATTATTATTATTATTATTATTATTATTATTATTATTATTATATTATTATTATTATTATTATTATTATTATTATTATTATTATTATTATTATTATTATTATTATTATTATTATTATTATTATTATTATTATTATTATTATTATTATTATTATTATTATTATTATTATTATTATTATTATTATTATTATTATTATTATTATTATTATTATTATTATTATTATTATTATTATTATTTTTTTTTTTTTTTTTTTTTAAGCCCACAGCGGCATCGACTGCTAAGGCCATTAGCCGCTTTCCTCCTGCCCATATGGTCAATTGCCACATTCACCACAGGGGTAAATCTGGGTGATTCGGATGTTATGTGATGTAGCTCAGATTTTTTTGAATACATAAAAAAAGAAGAACAAACATATAAAATTAACTTATTACAGACAAACACAGAAAAAAAAAATGTAAATAAGAATACCCACATACGCGTGGGTACCCTGTATTTACTTACTTATCCGACACCAGTGCTTCCTTATCTATCATAGACCTACAGCTATCTAATATATTTCTACATAGTAGTATCTTATTTAATAACGTTATACTTTACGGAAAAGCTTGGTAGATTTAAGGAAATTCAATGTATCTCCTACGTTGGCATTAGAGGATAAACAACCTTTTAAATCACCAGCTATGTTGTGTGCTCTTCTAGCAGCTATGTATGATGGGCACTCGATCAGTATATGCTTCCAAGTAAGCAATTCATTACACGTCTCACACCTTGGTGGTGGATTACCTAAAAGTATGTGGGAATGTGTAAGAATTGTGTGACCTATTCTCATTCGCGTAATTACGACCTGCTCTCTACGAGTCAGATGGGGAAGATTCCATTTTGTTACGTTCGGCTTGATCGTCTTCAAAAATGGTTTGTTGAGTTCCATTCTTGCTGCCATTCATTAAGTAGCTGCAACCTCATGAATTTTTTCACGTCTTCAGGCACGACTGGTATGTTGAGGTATTCTTCCATTGTGGCTTCCTTGGCAGCTGTATCTGCTATTTCATTTCCATGGATTCCTACGTGTGCTGGCGTCCACACATATATGACCTGTGATTTCTTCTGTTGGAGCTGGTAGGTGGTCAAGAGGATCTCTTGAACTAAGGGGTTTTTACTGAATTTGTCAGAAATAGTTTGCAGTGAGCTCAAAGAGTCACTGCAGATTATGTATAAGCCCTGTTCCTCATCATCAATCAATTTTAGGGATTGAAGTATTGCGTATAATTCCGCTGAGAAAATTGAGGCCATTGGACTTAGGCGCCATTTGCGGGTTATCTCCGTAGTTGTTAATGCACATCCTATGCCCCCTTCGGTTTTAGACCCATCCGCATAAATTATTCTCCTTACGTTTTGGTATTTACCAATTATATCAAGAAATGTCTGTTTATAAAATGTAGGATTGGTGTGGCCTTTTTTGTATTTGGCGCATTCGAAGTGAACTTCTGGGAGTGACAGCCTCCATACAGGGCAATCTATGTATTTAAGACTATAGGTTGGGGGCATCTGAGTTTCTAAATCCTCGAGTAGCTTATGGATGCGGGCACCTGCGGGCTTTGTGATGGATGGTCTAGACCGATAAATTGAAATTTCTTCTTCCTCAAATAATATATTGTGGTTAGGGTGCTGGGGTTGTGCCCATATTTTTACGCTATAGTTCAGTAGCAGCTGCTGTATTCTGTAGCTTAAGGGAGGTATGCCTGATTCACAAAAAACGGACGCATTCGGTGATGTCCGGAAGGCACCAATGCATAACCGTATACCCTCCTTGTGTATTCTCTCTAATCTACTTAGATGGGATTGTCTTGCTGCTGAGTATACTATTGCTCCATACTCAAACTTGGACATGACTATTGATTTATATAATGAGAGCAACACATCCCTGTCTGCTCCCCAACTGATGCTTGAGAGACATTTAATAATTATTATTATTATTATTATTATTATTATTATTATTATTATTATTATTATTATTATTATTATTATTATTATTATTATTATTATTATTATTATTATTATTATTATTATTATTATTATTATTATTATTATTATTATTATTATTATTATTATTATTTTTATAGCCGTAGGGCTTTGTTACTCCCGTTAATCGGGGTGTTCTGGCTTAACCCGGACGTTTCAAGCATCAAAGGGGTAAGCCTCAATAGTGACCTCCCTAGGTACTTGCATTTCCCATAAATTTTCTTACTATGCGGGCAGTTGCCAGCAAAACTCCTTTCTGTATGATTTTGTAAATGTTTTCACTCAGTTCCAGTGCTTTGATGTTTTCTAGCAGCCTTCTTGGTATCACCCCTGTAGATGACATGATTATTGGTATTGTTTCCACGTACTTCATTTTCCACTGGCGTTTAATTTGAAATTCTAGCTCCCTGTATTTTGCAACTTTCTCATTATGTTTGTATGTTAAATTGTTACTATTAGGTATGGCCACATCAATCAGTGTTACTTTCTGGGCGTCCTTGTCGACAATGATTATGTCAGGTCTGTTTTGTTTTATGTATTGGTCCGTAAGCACAGTACGATCCCAGTATAGTTTATACTTGTCGTTCTCGAGGACACATTGCGGTGTATATTTGTAGTACTGTAGCTTGCATTCGATCAGTTTGAATTTGTATGCCAACTCCTGGTGAATGATTTTGGCAGCTATGTCGTGGCGCTCCTTATAGTCCGTTGGAGCAAATGCTTGGCATCCACCAATTACGTGCTGTATTGTTTCGGAGTCCTGACAGCCGTACCTGCATTTATCAGACTGTTGCAAGTTCTTAAGTATGAACCTCTTGTAATTGTTGGTAGGAATGACCTGGTCCTGTATAGCTACAAGGAATCCCTCAGTCTCAGGGAACATTTGGCCTGAGGTAAGCCAATAGTTTGACGCTTTCTTGTCAACGTTTTCTTGGCTAATCTCGTTGGCATGTCTCCCATGTAGAGGTTTTTCAATCCATCGTTGTAGCTTCTGTTCGTTGGTTTGGTGACTCGGTTGGTCATCTCGTCTACTAAGGTGTAAGGGCGTTGTGTCATCTATTGAGCATATGATGCGATGCAGCTCAGAGATCTCGGCCTTCTCAAAGAAGTAGGATCGCAAGGCGAGTACCTGTTGAGCTAGCTGCTTGCTGATGTCCATTAGACCTCTTCCTCCTAACTGTCGGGGTAAGGTTGTGCGCTCTATTGCACTGCGAGGATGGTGCGCTCCTTTTTTTGTTAGCATAGTCCTTACCCGCCTCTCTAGTTTCTCGATGTCAGTTTTACTCCACAGAACTATACCGAACGAGTAGTTCAAGGCAGAGCATGCGTAGGTGTTAATCGCCTTGACTAGATTCTTACTATTGAGTTCTGTTTTCAGAAGTAGCCGTATTCTTTTTGTGAAGGTCTGCGATATAGCTTCCTTCATTTTTTTTTTTTTTTTTTTTTTTATGGTCTATCCTTCGGGCCTGCGCCATTCCAAGGTACTTGTATGTGTCATTTGCGTCCATTGCGTCAATGTTTTGGCCTCTGCAGCTTGAAAATCCTCCAGGGTAGATGTTCCCCCTACGTATAGATAAGGTTTTGCATTTATCCATCCCAAATCGCATACTTATGTCATCTGAGAACTGACCGACTATCTCTAGCAGCTGTTTCATTTGATTCTCAGCACCAGCTATTACCTTTAGGTCGTCCATATACAGCAAGTGGTTCAGTTTATGGATGCGTTCCTGTTATTATTATTATTATTATTATTATTATTATTATTATTATTATTATTATTATTATTATTATTATTATTATTATTATTATTATTATTATTCTGTATTTCACTCCTAGAGGAAGAGATGAGCTTGACCGGAACTCTGCCTGAGTTCTAAGGTCTTTAGTCGGAAAGGGTTTTCCGCAAATGTGGGCTGTTCCTAGCAGTGCTATCTTTTGAACTTGTGTTGCAAAGACATCTCCGGGGAGTTCTTTTATGTTGTTCTTGAATGACATAGTGGCAGTCCCCAAAGCTCCGATGATCACGGGTACCGTTCTTGTCTTTGTCTTCCACATGCGCGATATTTCGATTTCGAGGTCTTTGTATTTTCTGGCCTTTTCCGCTTCTTTGGTGCTGACGTTGTTGTCGTCTGGTACAGATACCTCAATTAGCAGACATGTGTTCTGTGTTTTATTATGGTAAATAATATCAGGTCGGTTGGCGGAAATCGTACGGTCGGTAATGACTCCTTTGTCGTACATAATTAATGCTTCGTCTGTCTCTACTGCTGCTTCAGGAGAATGATCATACCAGTTGTTGCTAACTGGTACTTGGTGCTGCTTGAGGATAGCCCAGTGTATGTATTTAGCGACGTTGTTGTGCCTTTCGGTGTATTCTGTTGGTGCCAGTGTTGAGCAGCCTGAAATAATGTGGCTTATATGTTCCTCACATTGATGGCATATTCTGCATTTGCTGTCGACATTCTGTTTCAGGACCATTCTTCTATGGTAGCGCGTGTTAAGTGCCTGGTCCTGTGCAGCAATCAGTAGACTTTCAGTCTCCGCCTTCAGTCCCCAGTTATTATTATTATTATTATTATTATTATTATTATTATTATTATTATTATTATTATTATTATTATTATTATTATTATTATTATTATTATTATTATTATTATTATTATTATTATTATTCGTACAAAGCTCATTATCCTTGAAAATGACGGACTTTTGTAGGTACATTGACTCGCTAATAACTTATCATCAAAAATCAAAATATTTTTATTTTAGAATGGTCTATCCAACTATGTAAAATGTGGCACATTCAAATTAAAAAATATATATATTAGATTCTTCAAACAGTAATCTGTAAAGCTAGGAAACACACAGGAAACTAAATTTTGATAAGCGGGCTGTAATATTTCGGATCATTGCTTGGGAAGTACTGTTAACCTACCTGACGCCATTTTTTCTGAGGCTGAGGGTATTTGCGAGCTATTTTAAGTATATAGGTCAGTTTCATCCATCGTATCGGATGATGAATGTTAGGTATACGGCATATAACGTAAGTAATAAAATGAACCTGAATAAAATACCACGTTGCTATCTATATAGACGGTGTGACAATTCCAGCTGTGTGAATGGATATGTAGGTCTTTTGTACACCTTCAGGTAACAGTCATTTTATATCAGCGTTGTATGTTTCAGACAATCGCTTCATATAGATATATTTTGAGAAATATATATATATATATATATATATATATATATATATATACATATATATAATATACATGCAAATTAATCAACTTTTGATCTCATATTCCAATCCCAAAAAAGGGCCCTCGACACTAGATATTTTTATGATCATGTTCGAATTAAGCGCCCCAAGTTATTTAAGTGTACCAACAACCCCCAATTTTCAACCCCTCTAAAAATCTGAAAACAAATAGCCTAGCTTTTACCCAGCGGCTGTCTCTATTGACGAGATGTGTTCATGCCAGATCAAGTCCTCGGTGATCTGGACTCCGACTAGCCGAAATAAACGGCTCTTTGGCAGAACTCGGCCATCCGCCGAAACTAGTAGTACTGTGTTTTGGAAGCATCAAACTGTACAAGAGTGTTGCGTTTCAAGCAGTGATGACCTCCAGGTCTCTCGTTAGAGAGGAAGTCACTGCTAGTCTTCATTTTTCCAGCTCATCGGCAGAGATCTGCTTATCGCTCTGAATTCCTGAATGTAGAGTGCTGTGATCAGCAAAGCTGTGGATTGAGTTGATCGTACAGGAAAGGAGGTCGTTGATATGTAAGAGGAACTGTGTCGGAGCTAAGACCGATCCCTGGGGAACACACTTTGTGAGATATAGAGGAGAGCCCCCGTGCTAATAAGCTATCAAGCCATGCCGTTCGAGGTAGTCCAGAAGCTCGCGATTCATGTACCTCTTCATCACCTTATAACAGAAAGCAGAGCTATAGGCCTGTATACTGATGACTCCAGACCTACACACTCGATGCCCATATTAATTGAGAATTAACATGTTGGAAGATAAACGTTACTGATTACAAAGAATCTGATTACAAATGGAGAAATTATACTCTATAACGTCTGGACGTTCGCAGGATTCACATAAAATTTAAGTTTTCTGAGTAACTTTGTACGGTCGGTGAAATGTAATTTATTTTACTAGTAACAGAAAATCATTACCTGATTCTGGGAACGATTGATTTATTGTTGCCACATCACTTTAGAAGTTCTAATAACTTATATTAGCATATAGAATATATTTGGCTACAACGCCATCTATGAGGTCTTTATAATAATATTTATTGAAATAACGTACTCAAAATCGTTATCTATATAATAAACATGGAGTTTCAAAGTGTGATTGGGTTCACATGAAAATGAAAAAAAAAAATGAACTTAAATGGGAAAATACACCAACGTTAAATAATGAAGGTATTACCATGTAGTGAAGTTTATAAGTTAATATCTCTCTAAGGTAAGATTAGGCTAAATTTTCATATAAGACGCTACGGTATCTCATTTCATTTCAGATAATTTTTTGACGCGGGAATATAGCATTAGGATTTGTATCTTCAGGTAGAATAGGTTAATCAATGGTTTTTTGTAAACTTTCAGTAAACATTTCAAACTATATTATATATATCGTATCGTGGGACTCCTTCGCTAGCCATTATAAATCCTGATTAATAATATCGTTAGCTATTGGGCTCAAAGGAAAAAAGTAACTGTGTATCATCAGCATATTAATAGGTTTCAACATTTTTTACATCTTTCAGTGAGTTGCATGGGTATACAGAAGAGAGTAAGTGGGCAAGAGTAGATCCTTGTGGTTTCGTCCGAACGTCCCACATTGTGTAAATCTGGAGCTTCTGAAGTACCTCGACCGTCACGGGCTGATTAGCGACAGGTAGTACGGTTTCCGGCACCAGCGATCCACAGGAGACCTCCTAGCTTTCGTCACGCAATTATAGAGTAAACTCATCCAGTCTTATGGTGAGGCTCATGTTGCTCTCCACATCTGGAAAGCGTTCGATCAGCTGTGGCATGTTCCCCTTCTATGCAAATTTCGATCCTATGGCCTTTCAGAGAAGCTTTGCAGATGGGTGGACTTTCTCTTTGGCCACAAGATATCCGTCGTAACTGATGGATTTTCCTCCTCATCCCAAAAAGTCAACGCGAGTGTTCCCCAGGTATCGGTCTTGACTCCGACATGTTTCCAATTGCATATAAACGACCTCCTTTCCTGTACGATCAATCGAATCCACATCTTTGCTGATGACAACACTCTACATGCAGGAGTTCAGAGTGACAAGTCGATCTCTGACGGTGAGCTGGAGAAAGGTCGACTAGGAGCGACTTCATCTGAAGAGAGACTTAGAGGTTGTCCCTAAACAATCGTGTACAGTTTAATGCTTCCAAAACACAGTATTCTATCTTGACGAACAAGAAGCGTCCTGGCGCTCATCCGGTTTCGATGGAAGGCTGGGAAAAAGCGCTCTTTGCTTAAAGCCAAGAATTACTTTTCTCAAATTTTCCTCGATTTTTAGCACCTCAGTGCAGTGGCATAGTTTTGGTCAGAAATGAGTCAGTCAGGTATATGAGCCCAGCCATGCGAATAATAGATTGTGTAATTATTTAAAATCGCAACATAAATTTTCAAAAATCCTTCGAGATCTGTGATCCGAATGGAAACTCAATTCGTAGGTAAATTGGGTGCGTTTACCATTTTGGCCAACATCACTTCAGAACTTTTTTATTATCATACATTCAAATTACACAACGGCGCTGACATCTATGAAACTATTAAGCACTATTTTTCAAAAAATGTCAAGTATGTTCGTGCTGTCGTATGTTAAACGTTCATGATGGCACTAACATGTCCAAAATC